ACATTATATAAGGCCTTTTTTAATGCTGTCTCTTATACACATCTAGCGCTCTCCCTCCCTTCGCTCTCCCTCCCTCCGCTCTCCCTCCCTTCGCTCTCCCTTCCTCCGCTGGCGCCACCCCTGTCTAGGCACAGGGATATTATTATTACAATAGTCCATTAATTTCACTGTGTTGACTACACTAGACCGATTACCTGAGATTTTGGCCTACCCTAACCCTATACTATACGCCGTAGCTTTCATATTCTTTCAACCACAAGCATCACTGTTTTCTCGACTCGCGAGGGAGAACGTCATATTATTAGTTCACGTAAATGACCTTAAATAACGCCCTCTATAATGTGGCCCGGCCCGCCGGCCCCTCTAAATCCTCCACTGATACTCAACACAAAGCACGTTCGGCTGCTGGAACATTTGATGTGCTGTAATTATTGTAATGACAATGTTTCCACTTTAATGATTATATTATATGCTCAAAGGTAATATGACATTATGAGAAATAATCATTAGATTGGCAAATAATATATTACACTAATGGCACAGTAAATAAAACATAACATTTTTTATGATTTCAATGTTAATTTTAAATTATTTTTCTGGGTTATTCATAGGTGGACTTTTCTTTGCGAAGAAAATGCGAGAGCAAGGTTATGTGACAATGCTGGACCCCTTTCAGTTGAAGTTTGGTAAAAGAATGGGTGGACTCCTGTTCTTGCCAGCTTTATCAGGGGAGATATTCTGGTCAAGCGCTATCCTTGCTGCTCTGGGTAATATTCATTAAACAACCAATTGATCAATCACTCAAAAAATAAATAAAATGAACAACCAAACGAACATTTAACCAACACGTCAGTCAATCATCATTGAATTGATTATTCAACCAACTTAAGTAACAAGTAAATGATCATCGATTACTATTGATTGTTTATTATTTATAATTATAACATAGTACTTCAGTGGTAATTATCAGCTTAACTTGGTAAGAGCTCAGCTTAACAGTTAATTTTCATTTCATAATATAGGATCAACTTTCAGTGTAATTCTGGATATAGACACAACTCTGGCCATCATTGTTTCGGCCTGTATAGCTATGTCCTATACATTGTTTGGAGGTCTTTATTCAGTGGCGTACACTGACGTTGTCCAGTTGATTTGCATATTTATTGGTTTGGTAAGTAGAATTTATACAAACAAACCGTTAACTTTAAACAAAAGAACAACTGCTTTCAAAAATGCAGACGCCGAAACAAATTCCTACTCAAGAATGCTTAACACAATTAGCATATACACCTGCCGAACCTCACATATACCTCCATTATCATCCTATTCACTGACCGTAAAAACGGAAGAAACTTAAAATAGATTTTATATATATGAACTACTAATATTTACGTTAAAAATATTAAAATAATGCTTCTTTAACTGTTAAAATACTTTAAAACTAGTTTACCGTGTAGTTATTTCGCGTATATATTGATCAGCACTGTAAATAATATATTAATGAAATACCCTATAAATATAAAATAATTAGTTGTTGAAGTTAATAGAAGGATTAACATATGGAAATTTATAAAGGCAATTCATGAAGCTTACCAGAAAAAACGCAATAAGTCATCTATCGATGTCTTTGACTCGGTGTTAGCCTACTGGTATGTCTTTTGACTCGGTGTTAGCCTACTGGTACAATGACAGAGATATTAAATGACGAACAATTTAATATATAAATAACTGACAATATGTTATGGGGCAACAAAACATTAACGTCTTTATTGTTAGCTAAACATTTTATAGAATGGGAACTGCTCCTAAAAAATAATTATAAAGAGTAGATACAGGTTCCGACTATTACATTCGGCTTACAACTGACACTTGATTTATACATTATATAAGGCCTATTTTAATGAATATTACAATATAAATAGTACCAAAAGTGTTGAAAAACGTAAATTTAACAACATTTTGAATGATTTAATCTATATACCTAAAAATTAATTAAAAACAATGTGGGTGCACGCACCAATTACCCGACTAAATGGAAGGGTCATCATCAACATTTTCCCCTCTTATCTACAATGTGTGAGCGTTTCAATTAGTGTCAGTATTGCATATTATGTAAGACTAGGACATGTTTATCTTGTCTAAAGATTATTCTATATCCTTGGTAATAGTAATACGTTTTTATTATGCAAAAAAAAATTATTTTATCAACAGTGGTTCTCGGTTCCATTTGCTTTTACAAGCGAACATTTTACAACTATCAGCGGACCAAATTCAACATGGCTAGGTACCTGGGATAATCGATACGCTGGTGAATGGATTGACTATGCATTTCTGTTGGTATGATATTATATTTATAATAATGATAGTAATCAATTATAATCCTACTTTGTGTTATTCTTATCAGTACGCTGATAATCGATAAGCTGGTGAATGGATTGACTATGCATTTCTGTTGGTATGATATTATATTTATAATAATGATAGTAATCAATTATAATCCTACTTTCTGTTATTCTTATCAGTACGATAGTCAATTTTTTATACATTTATATTTCTCTAATGCATTAGGTAAAGGTAAAACATGTGTATTGGTAATGAAATCTGACAAAAACCACCCAGGAAAATAACCACCCTGACAAATACCATCCAAAATGAAAATTTCATTGTTAAAATGGGGTGGACAATGTTAGATGGCCTGTTTTATCTTAATACAAGATAGGACAATAACAAATCTACAATAGGATAGTTTACACTGTGACGACTCGATATTACTGTATACGCCTTTAATCATTAAACACTTTTGACAACATTCATGTGGGTTAATAAGCATTGTAGATTTCAGTAATCATTGTGCTTAAATTTTGCCTTTTTAATGATTTTAACACAACAATTAAATTCAAAAACTTTTGAAAATTCAAATGTAAACTTTGTTGTAAAGTTTACATTAATAACAGTTTTTATGTTATATAGTATTTGTCTAATATTTTAGTATTTTAAAGTTATTTATACTTTAAAAAGGACTTGTCCATACTTACTTTATAAGTTATTTTCAATTAAATAGTTCCATTTAATAATAATTATAATTTTAATGTAGAAAGTCATATCCATTAATGAATGTAGGTTAATAATCAATATAATAAATCAACAACAAAATAATCGACAAATATGGAAGTGAAATGTGCAATTTGTGTAGCTCATGAGAGACAGTGCATCTACAACGTAGCTTTGATTTCCAGGTTTGTGGAGGATTGCCATGGCAAGTGTACTTTCAACGTGTATTGTCGGCGAGTAGTGCGCGGTATGCCCAGATTTTGTCGTACTCTGCTGGCTTTGGCTGTTTAATCATGACAATACCTTCAATCCTAATTGGAGCTATTGCCACAAGTACTAGTAAGTATATTTATTTTAAATGAAAAGAAACAAAAATAGGCTATTTTTTTTCTGTAAACAATATCTGTGAATTACCTTTCTCATTATGTGAATAGTGATTTTATACTACACTAGAGAAAAGCAAAATGTATTAGCTTAATGGTCTGAGCACCATTCTTTTTAGTCGTTGTTTCTCGCTTTTTCAAATTTACCCTAACTTTCATAGTGTAATTTGTATTCTTTATATTTTAGTCTTTTATTGTACAGTATTTTGTATGCGACTGGAACAAAATTGTGTATGTATCATGTTATACGTTACGACAACTTGTATGTTGTATAATGATGAACATTGTGAAGCAACCACTTTGACAAACACGAGTCAATCAGATAAGGAGAGGTTAAAACAAATCATTAATATATCTACAGTAATTGAGGAATTTTTTTTCTAGATTGGACTGCAACAGATTATAAACGTGAAGTCGAAGACAGTAACCTTGTTTTACCACTAGTCTTACAATATCTAACCCCTCAGGCCGTCTCGACCATTGGTCTGGGAGCGGTCTGTGCTGCTGTAATGTCATCTGCCGATTCATCCCTCCTCTCGGCTAGTTCTATGTTCTCTCGAAACGTATACAAGCTTGTGATAAGACAACATGTAATATATTTTACTTAATTTATATAATATTGTATGGATATAATGTATGTGTATATATAACCGTATTTAGGCCTATATAATCAAATAGGCCTAGATACATTTTTTTATTATTTATTTAGGCACACAATACATGTACCAAGGATTGTCAATAGCGAATATATCACTGTCCTACTTGTAGATGACAATCCCTTACACAAGACGAACATACACACACGATGCTTTACACAAACTAAATCTCAATATGAAATTTAGGGAGTGGAGTTGTTTTTGTCGTAAGAAAAAAATCTGCAACACTAACAGGAATTGAACCCAGGACCCTGGGATTGAAAGGCAAGCATCTGAACCACCAAGCTATTTAACTTCACTCTACACCAATAGATACATGATAATAACTGTGCTCAGATATAGGAAAGTCAACTATAGGTATGTCACTTGAGAGGCTGCAGGTTTGATTCCTACAAGATACAATTTTTCATACACTAAAAACTAGAGGGTATTCTTTTTTTTTTAATTGTGGCAAATTAACCCCCGTTATTGATTTTATGATCACAACTTTTATTATAATTATATTTTATTCAATCTCACATCATGATTATTTTAATGTGAAATAGACAAGATAAAGTAATAAGTTTGAATATTTGTTTCAAATGTACTGTGTTCCTTGAGGCGTCTAAACATACCATATTGCACAAAGGAACAATGGCTTAAACTTCTCATATATACGAAAGAGATGATGCAGTAAAATCTTGGATGTCAGCTTTACATCGATTACAATTTAACCAGACGAAAGATCTGAAAGAATTTGTAATATTCAACACACACCCTCACACATACAGTGGCTACAACCAGTTAAATTAATGTAATATTATAATGTAACAATCTATGAAATTGTAAACATGGAATATTTTGAAACTATAAATGTCAATATTAATAGTTATCGTAAAATAGTTAAAACAGCTTGGAAAAATACACTTTAATATATTGCGGAACTAAAATAAACATATTTTATAAAGAAAAAAACCTTACTTTTAATAAGAATATATATATATTATACTTTCATATTATTCGAATAAATATTCATACTTTTTTGTATTCATAGGCAACCGAGAAAGAGATCATTTGGGTGATGAAAGGTTCAATTGTTGTATTTGGAGCCCTTGCCACCACATTAGCGATTACAATTAACTCAATCAATGGTCTGTTTTATCTTTGTGCTGATTTTGTATATGTCATCTTATTTCCGCAACTCGTCTCCGTCGTTTACATTGGCTTCACGAACACCTACGGCTCAGTTTGCGCCTACTTCATTGGCCTGATATTGCGACTTGGCGGCGGCGAGTCACTTTTGGGTCTCAACCCGTTTATAAAGTATCCATATTTCGACGAGGATATGGGTAAACAGCTCTTCCCTTTCCGTACTTTTTCCATGCTGATGTCGTTTGCTACGCTGCTTCTAGTCTCTCGTTTGTTTCAATATCTATTTACGAATGAGGTCCTGGACAAAGAGTGGGACGTTTTTGAATGTGTAACAAACATCCCACCCGCAGCTGATTCATTCGAAATGAAACCCAAAGATGTTGACATAGGCGAAGGTGAGATTTTAAAAATTATATTTACATATTTTGTTAAAAGATAGAGTGGACACAAAATCAATATGCTCTATAAACATACAGTAAAGTATACAGGTAGAAATTATTTTGCGAGAAAAAAAAAACCAATTCGTGTGGAGTGGAGAGTGATTCTTAATCATTTGGAATTGGATAATTAAAGGTGAGGTAAAACTTCATTTTAATTTAAACTCCGATCAGTAATAGTGGTGTTAAAAATATGGTTTGTGGTCAGTGTTCCACAAAATAGAGTTACGACTTTTCCACAAAGAGTCACAAACTTAAATTTCAACAAAAATCACCGTTTAGAGAAAAAAAAAAGGAGGTGGGGCGCGTTAGAGTGAACTACTTCATCGTCATTTATAAAAAAAATATGACACTAGTAGAAATACCGCTCATAAATAAATAACAGAAATAATATCTAGGTAACAATGTAAAAATCAGGTAATAAACTATCTCTCGACGGACACCATCCTGGTATTTCTGAATCAAGGTTTCGGGACTTGAAAACTTAGATTGTGATTGTAATAACTTGAACTACTACACAAGGTAAAAACTATCCCCCGCTGAACAACATCTCGATATTTCTGAGTCGCGGTTTCTTGGCCATTATAAATTGAATATTAGGCTTAACTGTACTAACTAAAAAAGACTACTATAAAACACTATAATAGAAAAGTACCTCCCGCCCGACACACACCAGGTGTTTCAAGGTTTCGTGGTACAGTAACAAGACTGACGTTGACTTTTCTGGTAGCGAATGGGTAAAAGGATGAAATTGATCTAATGGTTGTGGCGCTTATGGATCACGGTTCTAAACTATTGGCCTTGTGACATTAAATTGAAGTTCCTGTTACCAGGATGATATGGGTCATTTATAATTGATTGCGGCTTTTTAATTAATCTTTCTGTGTACATGCTTTGAAGTGGTCGCTGGGGCATGCCTATTATTTTTTATGCACGCCTACCATTTATATGTGTATATATGTGTATATATGTATATGTATATATATGTATATGTATATGTATGTATATATATATATGTATATGTATATATGTATATGTATATATATATGTATATACATATATATGTATGTATATATATATATATGTGTATATGTATATGTGTGTATATATGTATATGTGTGTATATATGTATATGTGTGTATATATGTATATGTGTGTATATATGTATATATGTGTATATATGTATATGTGTGTATATATGTATATGTGTGTATATATGTATATGTGTGTATATATGTATATGTGTGTATATATGTATATGTGTGTATATATGTATATGTGTGTATATATGTATATATGTGTATATATGTATGTGTATATGTGTATATATGTATGTGTATATATGTATATGTATATATATGTATATGTATATATATGTATATATGCATATGTATATATATAGTAATTATGTATGTACAATTTTCAGTGAGATTAATATGCTTTAAATTAATTTTTATATACTTTTATTCTCATTAAACTCACTGTATACAATAATTTCTCTCTCTCTCTCTCTATATATATATATATATTATTAGATATACATATAATAAAGTATATACCTATATATACATGTATATATAAACCTATATATAAACAAATAACAATATTGTTTCTATCATTTACCTATTGACAATGTTTATATACTGTCTCTTATACACATCTAGATGTGTATAAGAGACAGCTCCCGATGCAGACCTGCAGCTTAAACTTCAACAAATTACCGGTTTACCTCCTTGTAATCCCCCTCCTCAGGTTTTCGAATGGGAAATGTTCAATGAACTAAAGGAAATTTAAAATAATATGTAAGTGCGGATAGATGACTTGTGATTGTTAAATCTACTTCTAAAAGAAGCTCCAGTTTCACCGATGTAGGTGCCATGATCACATGCATTACACATTATGATGTAGATCACGTTGGTAGAGTCACATGTGAGTTGTATATGTGTGTATATATGTGTATATATATGTGTGTATATATGTGTATATATATATGTATATATATATGTGTGTATATATATATATGTATATATATATATACATATATATATACATATATATGTATGTATATATATGTATATGTATATGTATATGTATATATATATGTATATATATGTTCGTTTGAACAGCTATTAAACCATAAATGATTGAGTCAAAACGCTTTAAACTGTTAATCTGTAGAATTCACACATGATCTCTGATCCAATTCCAAATTGTCTTAACCTCCTAGGAAAGAAAAACGTTGGTGGCACCTTTTAACCTATCTACGTGATCTTTCCAGTTAAGGTCATCCGAAAAATGAATACATTTGTTTCTGTTTTGTTTTATTGACGTTCAGAACAAGGTCATTATCTTTACACCATTGAACAAGAAGATTGTTTTTAGATATTAGGCCTAATGCCGTACTGTATCGTCCTCGAATTCCAGTATGTGACAATTTGTTAAGGTGGCTTCAGACTGGGATCTATTCTATTCGTAATAAAATAAAATATCCATTTCGCCACTTCTCTACCAAACTTTAGGTCAATTAGCATACAGTGTAACTTAACCGGTGATATAAATCATTAAACAATTCCTTAACTTTTAAATTGTGGTCGGTTTGTGCGCTATGTCTAATTAGTGTAGTTAAATGCAACTAGTTGTAGTACTCCTAACAGTTATGTGAAAAGTTTGATGCTCATAATCAAAATTTCAAAGAAAAGAAATGGAAAAATGTGATTTTTAAGTTTGTGTCTCTTCGTGGTGTCGGCTACGTCCTACTAAAGGGACACTTTTTTGTCCCGAATGTACTATTCTTGTGAATATAATGCAAGCAGGAAATTCGACGTAAACCCAGGAGTGACCCATTTTATAATGTTTCTTTTCGACATTTTTTCTTTGAAGCAATAGAAGTACGAGATAATGGAGAAAAACCATTGAAGTCAAACATCAAGTTTAGCGGCGTGTTCAACCCTGGTTATGATATTGAATTCTAAAGACGCAATGTTTGCCTGCATCTGCATGGAAACACTATACAATGAATGGTGTGAAGTAGGCCTGATCAACGACTATGGTGTACTGTGTTTTTTGGAGATATCGTTCTTTCAATGTATATAAAAGAAAAGTAATATTTTCCAGATTCGCTTCAAGGAATAGCACTACCACTCGGACTGTAATTTGGATGGTGTTTTTTGTTCCTTGGCGGTGAATTTACCAGTAGTGTATAGCTTCAACGTTATACTGATCTCGTCATTGCGTTATGACGATAGTGTTTTAAATTTTTGAATATATAAATAAAAGTTATAGTTAATAATTTTATTATGGTGTTTATTTTTTTAGATATAAATAACTTTTTCTAAAGTGTATATAGAAAGTTCTTATAAAAGTGTTTGTAAATATATTTTCTGAATTTAGACCTAATTATCAGTATGCCTCGGACTGTCAGACCTTACTCTGTAAACATTATTTACTTATGACTGTATTTTTAGCATATCAATAATATCTAGTTGAAGTGAAATTATATTTTATTGCATGTGTTTTCAACTAGAGACATTGTTATTATATACCTTTCTTGTTTTTTAAAGTGTGTTAGTGAATAAAAAAAATAGTAATTGTACATTACACTTACTTAAATTATTGATATTGCTGTCCTGATAAATTGATGATGTTCATTTTAATACGTGACGCCAGTTAAAAATTCACAAAAAACCACATATTATTATAAGTGATTTTGATTGGTTACATGTTAAAATATAAATGATTCATTCTAAAGTTAAGTTATAGTTGCAATTTGTTTACGTACCATAATTTAGACGTAGGTCTAATTATTCTCACTGATTAATATGCGACACATTTTCAGGCCGTCATCAATATGTAAATATTATTTTATAAGGGCTATGATTTTTGCTCATAATTTACTTAAATAAAATATCTTTTTAACTATATCTTTTGTAACTACATTATAACATTTTATACGTATTGAATAATTACTTATGTATTATTATTACCTTGAATATACCTGGAATCGTGATTATTATTATTATCTTGAGTTTACCTTGAATCCGGAATCATATATTATTATCATCATCAATACAATAATTATTATTATTATTATTATTATTATTATTATTATTATTATTATTAATATTATTATTATTATTAATATTATTTTTTTTTTTTAATTTTTTTTTTATTATCATCATCATCATCATCATTTTTGACAGCCAACATTCAATATCAGAACGGACATTTTTTATGATTGCGCCAAAGCTGCTCTAATAATTAAGAAGGCAATCGAAATGGCTTTCGGCAAAAAAACTACTGGGTAACAAAGTAGACGTTATAAAATGAGGAAAGGTTTAAGAGGCCTCAACAATTTCAAATCCAACAAGAAAATACCACCCTTCTATAGACAGTATTATCCACTTACTTGCCACTGTAATCACTATAAAAAGAAATTAGGATAATATGTTTATAAAACAAGACTCTGAATAACGCATAAATCAATTAATCAGTTTGTTTCACTTGCATCAATACATCGTCGTACGTAACTGACGTCGCAAAATATCTTGGATATAGTGGGCGATTACACAACATAGTCCTATGCTTATGCAATGTGTGGTTTCGAAAGTGATGTTAATTAAATTGTCTAAAATGTAATAATTTAACAAGGAAACTGCTTTCTATAACATTGTATTCCATAGCTATCAGATTAAGGTTGATTTGAATTACATTACAGTACCATTCAAACTAAAAATATAATAGAGGGTTGTGAGAGGCATTCTATGGCCATTTCTTGGGCTTGGCCTACTGCACGACAAGCCACAACCAGCACTGAAAGGGATCGTTCATTCAGCATGCATAACCAGGGGAGTAGGGTGGTTCCCATCTGGGGGAAATAGGGTACGAAAATTGTAAATGCGGGATCAGTGGAGTAACGAATGGGCTGACTTTCCTTTAAGTTTCAGAAAATAATTAAGAAGTCTGTATTTCTATTTTTTTTTCTGTCTGTTTTAATTGTATGTTTTAAACCTATTCTATATAGGCCTAAATACATTTCAGATATAAAGAAATGAATGTAAAATTTACTGTATGTTTTTGTGTTTTTCTTGTGTGGGGACATCCCATTTTTATTGATATAATCAATCCTATAAATCAAACATGAAAATCTTAATTAAATACACGATATTGCTCTTGCAATATATATTTGCCGTAATACAGTATATTCAATTTCAAGCGGGTTTTTTAATTATTATTGTTTAATTATTATTGTATTTAATTATTCAATTATAATATTCAATAAGAAAGATATAACCTATTTCAATCGATGTTATGCAGTCTTATGCAGTTTTATGCTTTTATGTTTTAAGTAAAGAACTTCGTAGTTAATTATTGAATTTCGTGTAATGAAAAAAGGAATGCATTTTGGGCGAATTCCTAGAGGCAAGAAACAACAGAATTCTCTGGATTAATCATTATATTATATTACTATGGATGCAATATTTTATTGTGCAGTATGGCCATTCAGGCCCTGAAACCTTGACTCAGAAATACCGGGATGGTGGTGTCCGGCGGGGGATAGTTTCACCTGTAATTATAATAATAATAATACACTACACCCAACTATACAAACCATATTAGTAATTCATTATATTATATTATACAGTATTACTATGGATGCAAGCGGTCCCCTGGCCCCCAGTCAATAATAGTGTTCGCTTGGCTCGCAAGTGCCCTTTCAGTATCAAAAAGAACCACCTATCAAAATCCTGGCTACGGGCTTGCCCTTTAAGATGATGATTGAATTTACGTATAAAGAACATCTTACTTTGCTATGATACTCGGATTCGTTCCAAAAAGTATGCACAAATTGAGTAATTATCTCTCGATTATGTCCACAACAGTGCATAGTAATGATGAGGTTGCAGTGCTTAATTTTTTTTTTCCTTATTTATTTATCATTTTTTATTTTTGGGAGGGGGTCTCAATCTTCCAAAACAGGTGTCATGATGGTATTCAACTTTGTTCTAAATGTAATGTTGGATATTTCGGGTGGAGCAGCCTGCGTTGGAGAAAGAACTCATGAGCATAAAAAATAATACAATCTCGGATTATGACCAAATTAGCAACATCATTCCAAAAAACACAGCTACAATAGTTTTATGTTTGCAACTATCGTCCCGTTTCCATTCTACCATCGATCTAAAAAAATTAGAGCGTTGTGTATGATTTGGGTATGGGAGCAAATCATAGAACGAATAGGAAAGCATCCGACTAAAGCACACGTAATGCTATATTTTCTGAAATTGGTGCATCTAAATCGCTATATCGCTCCTATGACAAGCTGAAGCTAATGACCAGCTACTGCATTCATTTTTTCCTAAACAGGATATAATACGAAAATGTCACTTGAATCGAATAAAATTGTTTGTACATATTCTCTGATTCCTAGGCTAGATAGTAAGTAAAATAAACAGACTCAGTTTCTTTATATTTATGTTAAAAATTCGTTGAAAATTATTAGGCCTAATTTCATTAAAATCTTTAGTGATCTTGTTTATATTATTATTATTTTTTTATTTTTGTTGTTATTTTTTTTAATTTGATTTTGTTCGTTATATTCATTTTAATTTCAGAATAAGCTGTTCATATTTTTTAACATACACAAGAAATTGTAAACCATTATGTACCACGAAATAACGAGAATGTCTTTAACAAAAAGTAATGAGAACGAATTTCTATTATTGTGCACCGCAACCAGAAAGGACGTTACAGTTTTATACTTGTTTATACCATAATGTACTCCTATATTTAAGGCTGTCATGCCATCTTTGCCCCTAACATCTATACAGTGTGATGAACGCAGATGACGATGACATTAAAATTAAATTTTGGTTGCCAACATCACATGCAGTACTGGAAATAAGCCTATTATTAGAAATGTAATGTTTTCAAAACCATTATTCAGTATCATTTCGTGTCCGATAATTCAATGTAACATCTTTGAGACTTCGACCATGTTTATATTTCAAGTAGTTGTGTAGACATTAAACTAGGTATATGGGGTTCATGATTATAATTTTTGATTATTTGAAAATGTTCCATATTAGACCAAAATCAAGACTTAGTTCTATGAATTAGGGAAACAGGGAAATTCCGTTAACTTTAGATCGAAGGTGAGAAATGGCATTTCAGTTGCAGTTTGGAGACTATATTTTATTTGGACAAACATCAACTGATATATTCTAAACAAATTGAGACCTAAAATAATATAGTTTCTATATTTAGTCGTTATGTAGATACAGACATTTCATTAACATTATGTCAAAGGTCAGAAATGTCATTTGTGTCATTTCCCGAGGAGGTTTTAATTAGAGCAAATATAAACTTACATATCCTGAACAATTTGAGACGAAAATCAAGTCTCTGTGTTGAGTAGTTATGGAGATATAGGATTTTCATTCACATTAAGTCAAAGGTCAGAAATGTCGTTTTCTTTTCATTTTTCGATGTAAGTTTTAAAATATAGAGAATATAAACCAATATATTCTGAACAATTTGAGACCAAAATGTAGTCTCTATGTTGAGTATTTATGGAGATATAGAAATTTCATTAACATAAGGTCAAAGATAAAAAAACGACATTTCCGGTCATTTTCCAGTATACTTTTTCATTAGATCGAATATAAACATATAATTACAACACATTTGAGACAAAAATCCAGTTTGGTATGCGGTTGTCAAGATATGAACATTTACTTCCAAAGTAGCGGCCATTTTTAAATTGAAGATGGCAAACATCTGCATCCATTCCAAAGTTTCCTACATGTTTTTTATGCTGTTTGGGACCTTATCAACATACCTAAATGGGGGTGGGACCTTCTATTTACCAAAACTTTACATAATTACATAGTCTAGTAGTTATTTTCGATAAAAAGAAATACATTAAAACCTCGAATTGACTGCCTGTGCAATATGTATTATGCAGTGTATTAACCAGCATTAAATCATCTAAACTTCTGTATAAACCAATCTTGTTTTTATTTATTTTGCAGCTTGAAATTTATAGACAGAGTATATACTGCACTATCTCGAAAAAAATTTTAAAAAAATGCTATTTTGAAAAGAAGTCCACGGGCTTCTTTTCGAGGCTACTTTCGCCATTCATGGCTTCTTCTTGAGATTAAGCCTATTGTACTTTTATTCGAGCTTTTAATGTAGTTATTTAAATTTTTCATATTATTACTCGACAGTTGTCTAGAGGTTTTGTTACTTATTAATAACCTGCATATTTTTAAGGGTCACGATGTAGTTAAACACAACAAAATACCTTCATATTTCTTCTAGGCCAGATCTACAAACAGTACAGCATACTTTCGACAGTAATCTTTTTTTTTTCCACTAAATTTGAGATTTGTACCGAAAATGGCGGTGAATTGGGGAGGCCTTATTTGTGTAGCCGGTTTCTATGTCACCATCTTGGCAGTCGGTGTGTACGCCTCAACAAAAACAAAAGGTATCACTTCAATTAATGAGGTGATGCTTGCAGGAAGAAACATTGGATTGTTACTTGGTGTTTTCACAATGATAGGTGAGAGTAACTTAATAATTGTATCAGTATTATTTTTAAAAGTTGATTATACTATTAATATAATTATAATTTTCTTTATAATTATAATTTTTCTTATAATTAGCATTATAAGTCAATCGTGACGATATCACTGGAACTCCCATTGCAATTTGATATGCCTGTCTCCAGCAGTGTACTATTTTTCATATAGTGCGCGGTTCGTTTACAAAAGATCAATTCAACTTGTACATATCGTGCACCGCGATGGATTCTATGCTAGTGTCTTTATACTTATCACTACGGCGCTCGCCTGCGGAAAGAAAGTACAGACACTCACCCAATCGACGTTTGTTGACAAGTGGTACTGTAATTGAAAAAAACTGATGACATTAGTATTAAAAAAGGTATTAGAATCCGAAAAATGTCGCTGCATATTTAATATTATGTATACAAATTTTAGGAATTCCT